TATGATCACCGCTCCAGGCGATACATACAGAGAGAGAGCTGAGTTAATTGCGAAAAATCTTACTTTTACACCAGGAGTAGTGTCAAACAGCCTATCGGTTCCAACACCGAACGAAATTCTGAAAGCTTTTCTTCATGCGAAACTACCAAACGCAAAAGTAGCATCAGTAAATGCATTTTTACTCGATGAAGCAAGAGAATTAGCACAAGACCTACTCTCCCTCAAGACGGAAAGATTTAACGCAGACTTAGCCCAAGCCGATGACGCATTATTCAAGAAATCGAATTCAATACCTGATATAACTCCGTTTGAATCACTCACTAGGAATGATGGATCTAACTATGGAATGGTTTATAAGCCAGAACCTTCATTTATTGCACCAGATGAAAGATCTCGAAGATTACTCATCAAAATCTTTCTACCTTTGCTAAATGATCGTATTTCGCAGCCAAGTCATAGTCTTAAAGTACAGCAAAGTATGTTAATTGTACCAACTATTGCACCAACTAAGCCGATTACCACTGTTGCACCTATCAGTTCAACAACAAAGCCTATAACAGTGAAGACTACGAATACTCCGATTACGTCCACAACTCCTCAAGCAACGACAACTATCAAGACGACTACGACTCCGAAACCCCATTTAATAACCATGCCACGAGAATCTCCGGTAGATGTCACGCAGACCTCGTTTCCAACAACGAAAACTCCTCCTAAACCAAGTTTGGAAATATTAGTAGAACGAAGATCCGTCAGTAAAGAAGAAGAAGAACAGCAGCAGTTACTAGCCAAAGCTAAGTACGCAGCAAATAAATTTGACGCAGAAACGACCTTCCATACTAATATTACACGCCGTATTGCACAGGACCATCTGCAATACGCTGTTGAAATTTTCCAAGAAGACATGAAAAAGAACTTCATGACTTCATACGAAACCATATGCGCTATTCAGAATAAATATCTAGAACTATGGCGTTCAATACTTCATATTGAACCAACCATCGCGATGAGAACCATTCTTGGCCGCGATGATATAGCAGCACGTTTCGTAGGAGAACATATAGTGCACATACATGCTTGCACAGAAGTTAAACCTGCAGTCATCTACTATAACCATACAGTCAATGGAACTTGTTATTTGGAAAC